CTTCTTAAAGCGCAGGATCCTGCAAATGGAGACGGCTCGGGGTGAGAAGTCAGAGGAGCACTGTTGTGGTTTACGATACTAAGCCTTTTTGTACTTTTTGGCAATGTTGAGCATCTTCTGCTTCTTTTTGAGGCGTGGTCGAGAGGAGGACGATGTACCCACCAGCGAGGAGGTAGACTGGGAGACCTTTTGAGAAATAACAGTGATATGAGAGGGAATGAGAGGAACGATTCCTGAGACTTTAAATTCCAGAAAGCAAAGCTTACTTTACGCATGATCTTTCGCCCATAGAACATGACTTTGTCTCTCTTACGAAAGCGGTACTTGGGAGCCTCCTGTGCTTCTAGGTCTGTCAACAACAAGAAAATATCTTATGAATAGAAAAACATAAAAGTTATAACTTTGTGTGACTTCATGATTTTGTAAGCGCAAGCAAGAAAAGCGTCATAAGCAACAGCTGACTTCTTAGGTGGATCCGCCGCAGGATGAAGAAGATGAGGATGGCAATAAGGACAATGGCAACGCCAGCACCAATCACAATCCCCATCATCTGAAGCAAAAAACAAACAAACAAACAAAAACATTTTATATCATCAGCCTTAGTACAAACAGGGCTACTGAAACCTCCTCACAACACTTACCATGCTGGTCTGGAGTTCCTCCTCCACAAAGGACTTGATGTCATTAAACTTGTCCTATTATAAACAGGGGGAGACATGTTAATCAGGTTCCTGTAACATCTCAAAGTTTACCTTGTGGACTCTCACATGCATCTCCCAAAAAAAGTTTCAAAGAAACTGTCAGGTTTCTGCTGCAAATGCAGCGCAATTGAATCACAGCTCTACGTTCAAAAGGAAATACAGGCTCACACACTCACTCGAGACAAACACCGATGAAGCTAACGTGCACGTTTTTGGAACATGGGTGGAAGCTGGAAGCCAACCATCAGCAAAAATAATCAGGTGAAAAGAAGAGGACAAAAAGGAAGCGAACCTACGCATAGAAATAATTATTTTCTCCAGTTTTAAGGAGACATTTGTCTCTTGATGTCTGTAACATCAAAACTGACTAATCTGTTTCAAAAAGAGGCAGCACAGGTTTTGTAGCATTCCGGTCAATGCGACTAAGTGCCTGATTTAAGGAGATACCGATAAACGTGTGAGGGGGAAAAAAGCTTATGCAGCAAATGACAAAGCCGGACCCTTTGGATATTGAGCGTTGTGCTTACAGATGATGAGAACATAGGCAGCAATACAAAGTATGTCAGCTATGTGCAATATTAATACAATTATTTTCCTGGACAAAACAACAACATAACATTTCCAGAGTCACTGCATGACAAACCAACCTCTGGAGCATCTGTTTGGACCTCTTGTTCCGAGGTACTCTGTCCCATTGTAACTCTGTTTCTTCATAGGGGTGATCCATAAAAGGCCACTGGAAGAAAATCATGGGAAGCATTATTGTTGCAAAATGATTACAGTGCAGTGATCGTGTAAAGTACGATGCCCAAATCTTTCTCTGCTTATCAAAGCCTATCCTTTGTGCAGTGACCAATACGAGAATGTGAACATCTACCGTATAAACAACAGAACGGACAGCCAAGAGAATATTAGCCAGGGGGGTTGAATAAGAGTTAAATAGTATTTGAGAGCCGCTGCCTAGATCGACTGCATGTCAGATTGCTGTAACAAAAACTTAATCTCGAGTTCAAGTCTCTGCAATGACAGCAAGAGACACAGAGGAGTCAAAGGATTGCATTTGGCAGTAGCTGGAACCAGAGGACACTGAGCTCGGCTTTTGTCTGCGGCTCATATGTGAAACACAGGCACCATTCTCTATAACGTATAATAAACCCATCCAGATGGTGGCTCCCCTCCCCACCACTCTGAGGGATGATTTTTCTTACTCTCCAAAATAAAATGTATCGTTTCAATTGAAGCCAAAGTTTTGAAGACATCAAAAGGGTGGAAATAGCTAATATGAAAAAAAAACGGCTTTTGTCTGCGGCTCACTGGACTGGATAATCTATTTGGTTAAAATCAATTTGTGCACACCAATAAGGACATCAAGTGGATTTTCCTGAGAGCAGCCAATAACCTCTGCCAGTGTTGTTTCCTCTCAAAAATGGCATATTCAAATGTAGTATCAATTTCATTCAGATAGTGAACTAACCATGCCTGCATTCAGTACCTGCAAGTACCCAATGCAAACCAACACCATAGGCTGGCATCAGCTGCAAGACATGCATGATGCACTTCCTACTGAATCTTGATCATCAGCGGATGGTTAAATGTCACTGAGCTGTTGTGTAGAGAGCAAATTGAATTACTGAAAGGCTGAGGAGGGAATGTCATGGTGCATGAAGTAAGATGCAGTGACAAAATAACGCACCAGACAGGATGTTGCTGAAATACAGCAAGAGAGGAGGCTTCATCTGTCGGCCATTATCCCTCAAAGAAGAAGCTTTAGAGGTGGTACAGTGCGAGCGCTTAGTGTATCTACTGTAACTGCGTCTGATAAGAGTTGCGCCATCCAGACAAGAAAGGGGCATACAGTACTGCCGTGAAATCTAACTGACCTTGGAGTTAATCCAAATGACAACAGAAGTCAGTTAATGGAAATCAATAGTAGACGCTGCCTGCAATTACTGTCTTGGGGGAAGTGACCATCCAAACCCAAAAGTACACTTCTATTGTGTCATTCGGCTGTGCATTGTTATGTTTGATTGTAGGTTTCAAATGAAAGTGTGTGTAGCTTGTAACCCCCACCGCCATCCACCCCCGCCACTGCACACACTACATTCACACAGGTAAGGATCAATCTGAATGTTAAACGTGCACCTCTGGCTTCACATGCCTGTGTGTTTAGTAAAGACGTGTGCTTATTGCCCTACAAAGAGGAGGCAAGAGCCAGTCTCTTGCCTCCAAGCAGTGCCTCCCTCCACAGACGCCAACATCTTTTGTTCTTTTTGAAACAAAGCTCGAGTTGACAGTGACACTACTGTACGGAAAAGATGCAAACATAAACATGTCTATGTAACGTGATGCACATTCATTGGGATGTGTAATGTTTTGCTAGTTAGCAGACTTGAGTGTTGGACCAACAAGACGTGCACTTGATATGGGACACCCATGACCGCTTATACTTGTAAGAACAGAACATAGCATTTCAGTACACGCAAAGACATGAAGACTAAGTGACCTCGTGGTGCGATCAAATGGCAGCAAAAAGTAAATAAGAACGTGTGTACAGCACTACTATAAGGGTGAATTAAACAGGGGTTAGATCATATTTCACCCTAGTAGCCAAAATAGTTTGGCAAGATTTGCACCCCATGAGGTGTTGCCTTACTGACCTTCTTATCACAAACGGTAGTGGCAAAAATATGCACTATTGATGCAATATTTAGCCCCTCTAAATGAGCAACGTCAGCTCGTTGCTCCACCTCCCTGATAACCTACGGGTGACTGTTGCATAATGTTTAAATTGAGTACAGTGCAGTCTGGGATACACTGTTTTGTTTAACTTGAGTGCTTCTCTTGTGATACTGGAGCGTTTGAAAATCGAAACGCTGGTAACCACCTTCTCTACATTCAGGTCAGAGGGCACCTGGTAGCCTGTCCCATTGGTAACGTCATCCCTGGTCGCTAACATTGGTCGCCAAAACATAAGCTAGCGGTTGATATGCTACGGATAGCGGTCCACTGTCGGCATTCCGCTTGATAGATAACAAATGATAATTCTACATTATAAAATACTGTAATTCATCTTAGTAGCATTATTACCTTCCGCTCCAACAGTCATGATTACACATTCAGATAAACAACACCGTTACTCACACTGGGACGGTGAGATGTACTTTGCACCACTCACTTCTCTGCGACACGAATAGGACATTCGGTCGGCCGATGTTACGACCCAGATACAAAAACAATCTGTACCAATACAGAAGCGAATTAAGCACTTGGAACAAAAGTTTGTAGGAGGGGGGATTTACCTGAACTGGTAGGGTCCAGATTTTTCGTCAATGACTCTCAAATAACCGAACAGATCTCATATTTGATTCACTCCTCCTTTACTCTTCCGCAAGACTCTAAACCAATCAGCAACTGAGAAGCTGTAAAAAAATGACCAATCACACTGCGTGAAGGGGTTGAACATAAGCCTATACCGATGTAAATATAGCCGCGGCGTCCAATAAGCATTGAGACACACATTCTGTCGCTAGGTTATTGGGCGACAAAAGGATTGACACTTAGCATGTCCTACTGCACGCGTTAAGTTTTCAAAGACGGTACTGTACAAGTACGAGAGTAGTGCGCGTGCAATAAACGAGCAGGTTGATCACTTTTGGTCCAGCGGATGGCCGATAGACGCAGGGAATAGGGACCGGGCCGGTCGGCGAATAGCGAATATACGCATTTAATTGACCCCCCCCCCCCCCCCCCCCCCCACACACTCTCTCTCTCTCTCTCTTTCAAATTATATGTAAAAA